TGTAACGAATTAATTATTTTACCTGTAATTTTACCGGGGCGCAGTTTACATGTCAGTATGTCACCTTTTTATTCTTGATAAAAACTCGGGCGCAGTTTACATGTGTGATTTTGTGTTTACCTGTATTTTAGGCGCAGTTTACAATCGCCGTTCTCAATACATCAACCATGTGGAAAATAAATATTAATAATATCACAAGTACAATATGGATTATGTCGACGGCGATGTGACATTTGAATTTTATATACACAAATATAGCATCATAATATAGGTATATCAGTGATTAACAATAATGTTTTTGGAAAAAATAGTCGCAGAAATAAATCCCAACAAAATATAAAACTGTTGTCACTTAATCTTTATAGTAGGTATAGTGACTTAAAAGTATATAAGATTTATTAAAAAAAAAAAACTAAACTAATTAGATGTCGGACAAAATATTACCGATCGCTCCCATTTTGATCGTTGATCGGAGCTTAGTAAATAAGTAAGAGATTTACTCATAGAGATATCTAGGTACTTGATGATGCTATAAATAATTTTTACTGTTATAGAGTATATAGGTTGATTCAAATGATGGCAGTCAAGATGACAAGATGGTATAATAGACAGTCTYGAAAGTGATATAATTAAGTGATAACGAAATCACAACTATTTCGACTTCTTCTAGGTATACTTATTACACTCATAAGTTATAGCTTTCCCGTGTTGTTAAAAATATGTTCAAAGACTTATTCATAATCCGTAAAAAGATAGGTAGAACAAATACAATCTACGTGTATTTTGGAATGTTTTTTTATTAAACGACGGCAGTATACTCGTACTTACTGATTGCGATTTTGGTGTTGGAGTTCGTGGAGTAGGCCATCGGGTAGAGTATGGCCCAGTACCTGTCGGCGGACACGGCCACCAGGCTGAGTATGGACACGGTGCACAGGACGATCAGTAGCGACATGGAGAACATGCACAGGTGCAGGTGACGAGGCAGCCCGACGCTGGACAGCACGGCGCACGGTATGCCCACCAGACCGACCAACAGGTCGGCGACCGCCAGCGACACGATGTAGTAGTTGGTGCGCCGGCGGAGTCGCCGTTCCCTGTGAAAGGCCACAATCACCAGCCCGTTGCCGATGGTCGCCCCGACGGCCACCAGGCCCTCGAGAACGGCGTAGGTCACGTTCAGCCCTCCGTCCACGGTCATCGCCCGGAGTGCCCGATGCAGTACGGCCGCTCGCCGGTGATCCGTCGCTTTGACGACGACGACGACGACGGTCTGCAGAGACGACTGTTGTAGCGAAGATGGTGACGGTACGACGACTGAGGTGGTGGTGTTGGTGGTGGTGGTGGTGCGAAGACGTCCGCCGTGCACGCGTTCATAACGCCAAACCGTGACTGACCTCAACGGCGGCCGTGGCGGCGTCTCGGGCTTTCCGCGCACCTCCCTCGCCCCCACCAAGTATGTATTGTTTTACACCGATTAGATGTATTATACACTGTTGGCTGATGATAATATTATATAATATAAAAATATTATTAGCACAAAATATATTATATATACAGGGCGATCCCCGTGCATAGCGTGCAGCTTACCCCCATTTTATATGTATACCTATTATTCTTGCCTATACCTTTTTTTTTAAAAATATATATATATATATTATCTACTGATGAATTTGTTCCGATGATTGTTCTAATCGTTATTGTCTTTTTTAACCTACCTGTACAGGTTGATATTTTTGAGCACGCTCAACCCCGTCATTTTTTCCTTTAATTTATTCAAATTCTAATTTTTAGAATTTTTAGGTAGACTTATAGAGACTACCATATTTTCGAATTTCTGGTATTTTTTTTGTACCATTTGAGGATTATCCTG